AGCATAGACTGACAGATTACCAGGCTGTGGCAGCCTGACAGACAGAAGGAGTTGACACTTCCTCCTTAGCACAAAGAAGGTATATTACAGAGATCCATTCAGTGACTTAATGTGTTTGAGAATTCAAGGCAATGGACATGGCCTCTATGTAAGGATTCTGTCCATATTATGTCATCAGCTTGCTACTGCGTCCCAGCCTAAAAAGCAGATGTCCAGTCCCCCAGCCTAAAAAGCGGATGTACAGTCCCATGCGTTTTCTCTCTGTACTCTCTCTCTGTGCGAGCTCTGTCTCTGTCTCTGAGTCTCTCTCTCTCTCTCTCTCTCTCTCTCTTTTTCTTCTCTTAAGAAAGCTCTAAAAAGGTAACCATGGCTCGTGATTCTTCCACCACCACAGTATCTAGCGCCAGCCACTAGCGCTATATACCCGCGGTAGCTGCTGCCAGCCACTAGTGCCACCGTCTACTCCTTCACTCTAATTACTTTTGAGGCCAAATTACCGAGTCATCTCTTGTATATTCTAATCATTCCATAGTCTTTCCTCTGCTACTGTTTAAACAAAAACATTTCTCAACTCATCCCTGCTGATGAAATCCTAGCCAAGCTTCACATCCCAGCACAATCATTAACATTTGTGTATTTAGCCCCAAGAAGTTTTAGAGCTATTTTTCTGTTGTTTTGAAATTTTATTTCTGAGTCTTAGCTGACTCTTCTTCTTCCAGCTTCACTCAGGTATGGTTGACAAGTAAAAACTATTTATTTAAGGTGTATACTATGATTTAGCATATGTATATATTGTAAAATGATGACCCAAATCAAGCTAATTAACATGTTCATCACCTTACTTGTGCCTTTTTTGTGTGTCTTACTCACTGCAAAATTTCAACTATACACTTAATTATAAACTACAGTCATTGTCATCATGCTATACATTCAATCTTCAGAAATGATTCATCTTACAACTGAAAAAAATCCACCCTTGGGCTAATATTTCCTTTTCCTTTCTGATGCCCTAGGACCAACAATCACCATTCTATTTTCTGTTAGTGAATGCAAATTTTAAAAAGTTTCCACATGTAGATGGGATCAGATGGTATATACATAAATACACACACACATACACACACACACACACACACACACACACACACACACACACATATATATATATATAAAATGATTCTGATTTATCTCATGGACATTTGGTTAATCTATGCTGCTATGAGTAACAGAAAATCCTTATTTTTAAAGAGTAAATGATGCTGAAGCTGGAGATTTGGCTCAGTGCTTAGGAATATTTGTTACTCTACAGAGGATCAAGGTTCAGTTCCTAGCACCCACATGACAGTTTATAGTCCTTTGTAATTCTAGTTCTTGGGAATCCAGTGCTCTTTTCTGGTGTCCATGGGCACCAGGTATGCATGTGGTATACATACATACATGGAGGTGAAATACTCCTATACATAAACAATAAAATAAATAAATCTAAAAATGAGAGTAAATAATGTCTTTGCACAGATAAATCACAATTCCTTTATTAATCTGTTCATGTTTGCTTACCTTCAGTGATCTTTTCTTAGTAAAATATATATATATTTTTTATTTATGTCTCTTTAGTCTTTATTTACATTTTCCTACTGAATTAAGTTTAGGTTATTCTATTCTCTCTAGTTTCTTGATATACCAATGTAAGTTATTATGATTTTATTCATACAATATTAATAAATACAAATAAATATGATTCAATATTAAACAGAACTTGATAAGTAGATAGAGGTTCAGCTTCTCAAGTTCTTTGCATAGCACACCAAGTTTACCCAGAGCCAGTACAGGATGATCTAAGTTGGTCCTTAGGGAGATGGCACAAGAGAAATAAAGATAAGTAAGCGCTGAATATATATCCCGTCTCTTCTTGTTTTGAAGTTGCCATAACTACTATGCAGAACAAGGACCTGTTTGCTTCTCTCAGGAGTCTAAGACTCCACAGACTAACTCCCTTCCTTTCTCATAATCAGTGTAGATATCTGAAGAGTTTTCCATTCTCAGGGTAAAGAAAGGTGGATGATGGTTAGTGGTTGATAATAGCAAGAGAGGTTGACGGACCCAGAAAAAGTGTCCCAGAAAGATGAGGAGAGGCTCAGTGGTTATAGGCTGTCTTCTTTAACAAGAGGAAAAATATTCCAGGAATACAAAATGGGTAACAAAGAGTCAACATACCTTTACTTAAAGTCGGGCAATTGTGACAAATACACATCTTGTATCTGTTAGAGGCACAGAAAATACATTTTTAACTCTAGAAGAGGTCAGTGAGTGTTAGTGTCCCTTAGAATAAGTAGATTCAGGACTGTGAAAAAGAGGGAGTAGATGAGATGAAATGAGTCAGGGATCACAGATGAGATGATTCTGTTTTCCTTTAGGCTTCATACTAGATCATAAATTATGAAGCAGGAATTGGATGTGCTGGATTAATGAAAATAATTCACTAAAAAGTAAGTCAGAAAAAAGTCACGAATGATCTATAATTCAAATATTTTTCATGGATGCTATGTTTCAATTTTCTAACAAATTCTGATTATTTTATTCCCCGAACTTTAGTAGGAAAAGTGAACAAAAGAAAGAGAAGAATAACTATATTTGTCTATGAGTACACATGAGTGAAAACATGCACATTTTTATGACTGAGTAAGTATCTGTGGGTGTAGTGTAACTCAATGGTAGTCACTACTGATAGGAGCTGATTATGAATTGAGTCTATGTTAAGTGTCTCCTATACACTGTTTTATTCAATTCTCACATCTCAGGTGAAGTTTATATGTGCCTTCATGACTTTTCATTTTTATAGGAGAGGAAATGGGAGGGCATACTTGTTCAGTGATGCAGAACACAGAGCTACCAAGTATTATTGTAAAGAAGACTGAAACCTTGCCCTGACTGCTAAATCCATGCTCTTAGATTGCATGTAGAGGTGAGTATGAGTATGAAGTAAAATGTGTGACTCTTGATGGAAGTGTAGATTGTTATACGTGGGGTGAGTTTACACCAGATGTCTTCCCTGAGCTCTCTTTATCTTGATGCAGGGTCACTTGTTGAACCTGGAGTGGGTCCTTTCTGATAGTCTGGCTAGCCAACTTGCTCCAGCTATTCTTTTATTCCAGCCTGCTGGGATTACAGACAGGTCACCATGCACATATACAATTTACATGGGTGTTGGGGATCTGAACTCAAGTCCTCATGCTTGATGACAAGTTCTACTGAGACATCTTCACAGCCTCTTGATATAGTTCTTGTAGATGTCTCCTAAGTGGACATTTCCAATAGTTATTATAATATAAAAATTTCAGTAGACTCCAATTGAAGAAATCATGGTGGGTCAAAGGACTATAGCTAAAATATCACTGAAAAACTAAACATATTGAGGATTTTATGGTTGAATGCTAATCTCCATCATTTTATTTCAGAAATGAACAAATGTGTGTTCAGTAATTTCTTAGTTAGACAGAAATAGAATTGATGTGGAGGGACAAATGTGTCTATCTTCTCTAATAAAAGATCTTGGAATGGTACTGACATTCCAACCAGTCTCTATAGGTAAGAATATTAGGGTAGAAGTAATTTTTTTCAAACAAAAATTCTTTATCCTGGTTTCTTAAAACATTTGTCTAAAATAGAGAACACTCACGAGCAAATTCATCAAAATAAGGCTCATTTTGATTATTTTCAGATGTTCTTGAAAGACAAAGTACCATGCGCCATTCTATACAGCTGCCGTGTTGGATTCTGTGTCAGTCACATTTAACAGTATAGAAACATGAGTCTGATAGAACGTTTTGGAGTCAATAACCTTCCAATTATAATAAATGTTCCATCATATATGAAATAAACTATAATTTACCAGAAAATACATATGTAAATTTTTTCTTCATATTTCTATTAAATTTAAAGACTGTAAAATACATGCAGAGCCAGCCTAGATTTTCCTTAAGTATTTTATTTTTTTTGAGAATTCCATATATGAAAACTTTATGTACAAAAATTTCCCCTTTCACCACTCCACCTACAAAGCCTAATGATTCCATTTAGTGTGGCATGTACACACATGTATTTAGGGCTGACCACTTGTGATTTGGTAACCTATAAGGGGGATCATCCACGGAGAAAATAGAGTTTCCCTCTCTTAGCATCCATTGATTGCTTGAATGCCTTCATGTAGGGATAAGGTCTTGTGATAATTTCCTCATTTGTATTGGTATATGATTTAGGGAATCATATTCCTTGAAATTTAATGAGTACACATTTTCTTTTTTTTTTTTTTTTTTTGGTTTTTCGAGACAGGGTTTCTCTGTGTAGCTTTGTGCCTTTCCTGGAGCTCACTTGGTAGCCCAGGCTGGCCTCGAACTCACAGAGATCCGCCTGTCTCTGCCTCCCGAGTGCTGGGATTAAAGGCGTGCGCCACCAACACCCGGCAAGTACACATTTTCTATCACATCTAGGAGACATTAGCAGCAGATGGCTTCATCATCAAGCTCTTACAATCTTTCTTTCCCCCTTCTGTGATATTTCTTTAGATTTATGTGTAGAGATTGCATTGCAGATGTATTAATTGGGATTGGGCACTACATAGCCACTTACTTTTCATTTTGAACTATTATGGATCTTTATAATATCTTCTATCTGCTGAGAAAGGAGCTTTGCTGAGATGTGAGACTATACTTATCTGGCTGATCTGGTATAAAATCTACATGACCCTAGTCATACCTGAGAGTAGAGGGAAACTCAGAGGCAGACAAGATTCTGGTGAACTCACCAAGATGTGTTGGTATATGGGCAGTAGCAAAAGTGAACTTTTGATTCTGGAAAAATTTTCTAAAAAATATTTTGATGGAAATTATTTTATCCCATTGAAGAGGAGAGTCTTTCTTAATACAAATTTTATTATGAATCTTATTCACAAGAACAGTGAGTTACTAACTCATTTTTTTATCTGATGTCCTAGATAATTGCCCTTATTTGTGGTGCTACCATTGAAGACTTCAACATCTCCCAGTACCTTTGGTCATGCTGGACATGAACATCACTCTTGTCAGTGAGTTCATCCTGGTGGGCTTCCCTACAGCCCCTTGGCTACAGGTCCTCCTATTCTTTCTTTTCCTTGTGGTCTATATGTTGATTATAGCAGAGAATCTTGTAATTATATTCACTGTCTGGGCCACTGGCTCCCTCCACAAGCCCATGTACTATTTCCTAAGTAGCATGTCCTTTCTAGAGATCTGGTATGTCTCTGTCACTGTCCCTAAAATGCTAGATGGATTCCTCTTACAGAGACGGCACATCTCCTTTACAGGCTGCATGACCCAGCTCTACTTCTTTATCTCACTTGCCTGCACAGAGTGTGTGCTCCTGGCAGCTATGGCCTACGATCGCTATGTGGCCATCTGCCACCCTCTCCGATATCCAGTCATTATGACCACAGTTTACTGTATGCAGCTGATGGCCCTTTCCTATTTCAGTGGTTTCATGGTCTCTGTTGTCAAAGTCTATTTCATTTCACATGTTGCTTTCTGTGGCTCCAATGTCATGAACCACTTTTTCTGTGATATCTCACCAATCCTCAAATTGGCATGCAAAGACATGTCCACAGCTGAGTTAGTAGACTTTGCTTTGGCTATTGTCATCCTCGTCTTTCCTCTTATCACCACTGTACTCTCCTATGTCTACATAGTGTCCACCATTCTGCGCATACCCTCCACCCAGGGAAGAAAGAAAGCTTTTTCTACCTGTGCCTCCCACCTCACTGTGGTCATAATTTATTACACAGCTATGATTTTCATGTACGTCCGACCCAGAGCTATCGCATCTTTTAATTCCAACAAACTCATCTCTGCTGTGTATGCAGTACTTACACCCATGCTGAATCCTTTCATCTACTGCCTAAGGAACCAGGAAGTCAAAAATGCTATCAAGAAGACCTTGGGAGGTGGTCAGTGCTTCCTGCTCAGCTGATCCCCTTGCCTTGAGATAAAGACATTGCTAATGTAATTTATGAGAGTTATCGTGGTCCTTTTATTAATAGCTTCACTTCACAAAGTTGAACTTGTAAAGAAATCACAATGCAGGCAAAACCAATAAATAAATAAATAAATAAATAAATAAATAAATAAATAAATAAATAAATACCTAATATTTGTCACTTCAACCATGAGCTTTTATTAACAACTCTGGATAGCTATAGCACCTTGAAATTATTTTATACTAATAGACATATAAGATATAGAAGGTATTGTTAGTATTTCACTCAAAATAAGCTATTTTGATTCTCAGAGCACTTTATGATTAGCTGGTTGATATTGCAAATTGAGAAAATAAAGTACAATGAGGTTAAATAAGTTGTCCATAGTTGAAACTAAATTAATATAAATGCCTTTGTCTGAGCCCAGGAATCTTGCTTAAAAATACATTCTATCAGGTTGTCTCTGCATCTCTAATCTGTAATAATAGTTCTAGAGGACATTAGCCATCAAAGATTGATTTCTGTAAGGAAAAGTACAATCTAGTGATTAATGTACATAGAGAGATGTGATGACAACTTACAGCAGTACTGTATTGATTGTACTGTTTGTAATTGTATTGAGTTATTGATGAAGAATACTGTTGGTTTAAATGATAATAATTATAATTTTGTAACTCTGTTCCATGCTTAGCTCTGTTTTTCAAATATTTTTTCTGTGGAGGTAAACTTAATTGTTTCCTATGTCAAAAATTGATGTTCCTGAAACTTTTACCAAATGAACAGTAGTTACTGATACTAATGTAGGAGCAAGGTGAGTTGACTAGTCAGCCTTGGCTGCAGCACCTTTTCATCATAGACGATGGGTTCTCAGTTTTCAGTTTGTGTTCCAGTTATGGTAAGCCCGTGCGTTGTTTATCACTATTTCTCTATTCTGCCCCCATGCTTTGCTTTATGGGCTTCTTTTTCTTTGTATAGTTTATTTCCATGGAGGAAAGAGGAGTTGATCAAATGGACTTCAGTCTATTAGCCTCTGGTTTCATTCAATTGGGCCAATGGAAAGTGTCATCAGGAAATGGAGAGAGAGAGAGAAAGAGAGAGAGAGAGAGAGAGAGAGAGAGAGAGAGAGAGAGAGAGAGAGAGAGAGAGAGAGAGAGAG